TCTTACAAATGCCATTAGGAGCTCTTGGAGGAGCCAGAGGAGCCAGATTTTTTTCTGTCTCATGTACTACTGTCAGGATATAATGAAAGTTTCAGAAAATATGACAGTTATTTTTATAAAAGTTACCTACTGCAGCTTTAAAGATAAGCTTTGTCTTAATTTGGATTGTAAAATTATAATTCACAAGCAAAAAGCAAAGATTAGACAAAATAAATAGAATTTTGTGTTGCAGAAAAGTTCTTCCAACTTTGTGTCAACAGTTTGTTCCAAAATTGTGCTGTGTCAGCACTGGATAAAGATCTTTGTCCACACATTATCATTCTGCAATGGGTGGAAAAACCCCTCCGGCTTGTTTATATTTCTTTAAACCTATTGCTATTGTCTTGGGTGATACTAAGCCCAAGATGCATTGACAGTGCAACTGCAACAGTGTCGGGGGGGAACTTGTTTTAGTGGAAAATTTGCACTTGGGGAAGCGAGCACTTGTTAAAATGGTTAAATCCCTGAATAAGAAAAATGAACACCTGCTAGCTTGTTTATGTTGGTACCATTAGCGTACTAGGTTAAGGTAACTTGCCATTTTGAGCAGTTTTTGAAGGTTGTTGTTTCCTGTAGCAAAGGGGATTTGAAAACGGTAATGTGTAGACAGCTGAAGGGAAAGAGAATGCTGTTATAAGAGCAGGTTAATGCTCACATATGTTAACTATCATATATGGTTGAAATGTTAGGGTGCCCACATACTATTGGCCATGTAGCAAAGTTAAAGGGGGACATTTTACAGATAAAGGTTTCAATTTTCAGTGGAACAGCACACACACCTAAAGACAAAACATAAGTCTATGGATCACAACTTATACACACATGCTGTTTTTCCATATTCTCCTTATTCCTTAGTTCACTCTTCCTCTTTGTCTCCCCACATCACCAGAAAATGTTCACTCCCCCCATGCCCGGGGACGTGATGGTGAACTTTTACATCAATTTAAGCAAACTGTGTCTGACTGTCTACCAGCTTCATGTGCTGCCACCCAACACAACAAAGGTTCGAACTTGCATCTCTCTGCAACACCATCTGGAGCTACACACAGCGCCATGTGACTGATGTTTTCAGGTTTTCTCTCTCATCTTTATAGAATTTCAAGCCAGCTGGAAGCTCAGTGTTGCACAACCCCGGAGCAATGTTGTAAGTCCTGCTTCGTTTCTTTTCCTTTGTTCTGTCTTTCCATGACATACAGTGTACAGAAACACATTGAAGTAAATTATGCACACAATGAATACATTCAAAAAGAGGTAATATATATAGTAAATGGAAAGAGACAGGTAGTCAATGATAGCACTTAAATTGAGAAATACTCACCACATCCAGGAAGTTAGGTCCCTTTAATCTCTCTTTGCTATGAACACTTTTCCTCCACAGCGAGCTCAACAGCAACCGATTTGAGGTCAGCCACGTACACAAGGTGGAGTGTGTGGTGCCTTGGCTTAACGATACGCTGGTATTCTTCACTATTTCCCTGCAGCTCTGTCAGCAGCTCAAGGACAAGGTGGGTGTCTCGCCTGGATGATGAATACACAAAAATACATCGCACATTGATGCATCTTAAAGTGACATGACTCCTCAAAGCTGAAGTCAACACTAAGGAGGAGGGATGTGAAGTTTTCCCCACTCTGTCTGCTCATTTCAGATTTTGCTTTAAATAGTATCCTCAGTGTTACAAGAATATAGAGAAAAGAGACTCTCCAAAATGACGTAACAATCCTATAGGTTTATGTTATGACCACCAGTTGTGATTATTTCAGTGTTGTTTCTGAAAAGAATCACATTTTGGCAGGCAGTCGGCTCTAAATGCTTTAATACTGGAGAAGAAGCCAGTCTGAGGCATTAACCAGTGGGGTATAGAATTCAAAATCCGTCGTTGCCCATTGAGAACAAAAGGCATTGTAGTTGTTGATTTCATCCAAAAGTCGCGCATTTTGGGGAGTGCCTTTGTAGCAAGTCGTGCTACAGACGGGGTTCCCT